GGGAAAAAAAGTCTTAAAACTCCCTCGTATAGGAGTATTCAGGTGGGTTGCACCAGATATATCTTAAGACAGTAGCAAATTAAATCTTTAAATATATTTCCTTTTTATTTTTTAGTTTGTGTGGAAAGTATTATTCTGGAAACCAGATTCTTGGTGCTTTTTTTTCTTCTATTTAAACAAACAAAACAAAATATATATCTATAAAACAAAAGAAACCCTTCTTACATTGAGAGATTGTTAGCTGTATGATTCACTTTTGTTTTTGTTTCATTTGGTTTAGCCTTTTTCTTTTAATACTTAATCAAATCTTTCACTTCTCATATTCTATGGAGGGGTTCAAAAGCTCTTTTGTTTATCTTACATACTGTTCCATATATCTGTCTTGAGCCATGTTGGCTTCTCTTGTCATTTTGACACTGATTTACTGGAATGAACTTATATTTTAAACTCTGCTACAGTTCTTTAAATGGCTCCCATTCCACATTAACATTTCTCAACAATAGTTGGTTCTAATTAGTATTTTTTTTCCAGCCTATTTGCAAATCTAGCACAATGCCTTCTGAAAATAAAAACATACTTAAAATTATCAAATATTTTGAGAGAATAGGCAATCAAGTGGCTTTGCTGGTAGTTCATCCATGTTCTGCTTATGCTCATATCCAGTTCCATATGTATGAAATAGTCATTTAATTCCCAAAGAACAAAGTTTTACCCTATTAGAAGATTTGTTCCAGAAACTACTTTGTTTCAGTGACCTGTTGTAGGCATTACAAAGGCTTTTGTGTAGCATGTAGATTTACATTTTGGTGTTCCAAAGATCTCTTCTATTCCTATTGACATATTTTGATGGCTTTCTCACTATCCTCTTATGTGTGTGTTGATCTCTTTGTCTTGATCTTCAATAGGTTTTCAATTCTTTTAGAGAGAATAGAAAGCTGCAGCATTACCAGGATATCTCTACAGTCCTTGATGAAAGAAATCAGCATATATGTGTGCCTTTTTTATTCAGTTTTAATCCAAACAGCAGAATTTTCTTCCTTATTCGTCTTTCATATGCTGGTATACACACATCCATTATATGTCCTCTATAGCAGGAAAAAATAGATAGGGGTGCTTTACTCAGTGTTCCTTTTTATCTACAAGGATTACTTACAACCAAATTTACTTTAAATTGTACTTGTCAATGTAAATGAGCACAGGCACATTGAAAGATAGAAAAAATATATATATTTTGGAGCCATTAATACTAGCTGAGGGTTGATGCATTTACAGTATGTCATTCTGATCAGTGTGATTGTTTTCTCTTTCCCTTATATGCTATTTCTTCATGGTTTGGTAGTCTTGAGGTATGAATTTTAGTAAAATAGAATTAAAACTGTGGTTGTTTTATTACATGTATTACTGTAACTCTTAGGAATCCAAGTTGTGAGGCACAATTTCACTGTGCTGAGCACTGTACCACCACTGAACCAAAAAACATTGTCAAAGAATGTAATAAATTAACTGCTTGTCTTGTGGGTCAAAGATAGGAATAAAACTCCAAAAACATCCAGGTGAGAGATCATGAATATCAGGGACTGAAGGCTGTGAAGAGGTTGGAAGGTGATGAAGACAGCTGGAGTGGAGGGAGTGGAGTATTGGCTCTGCTTTGCAGTAGGGCTTTGATCTGAACATATGCAGGGCAAGTTTGCTGCTAGGAGAGAGATAACTGCAGTAATATCGCTATGAGTAATGAGGACAGGCTGTGTGTGGATCGGCAGGAGAAGCCTTGCATAAAAAGAACCTGCAAGTCTTCAAAGATTGCCTTTCAGAAGCTGGTTTCGGGTGGACGTCTTGAGAGCAGCATAAGCGCAACTTCCATCAAAACAAACTGCTACACCTTTCACAAGTAGATATTTACAGCAAAATGTAAATATTTTTATATTATATGTGCACTAGTATTTTTCATCTCAAATTTTCAAACAGGGCAGAGCATCAGAAGTGAAATAGCTTTGCTTTGTACAAGGCTAAATTTTTAGTTTTGATTGGAAAGCAGTGGGAAAGGTAAAATTCACTTCTTCCTTAGCAACAGTACTGCTGCCTGCATATCCTCAGCGTCGTGCCTGCTAGTTCTACCCTAATTTTCAGTGCCTGTTTCACAGCACTTAGATGCCCCTGTAACTCGAGTGTTTGGCTTGTTTCCTACATGCCAGAAGCTGAGAGATTCAAGGATGACAATGAATGAGCACAGACTTGAGAGAAGAAGATTTTTTGGCTAAAAGAGCTGTGGCAATCTCAGCAAGAAAAATCTGTCTTCCTTGATCTTTCTGTCTGGTATGAAAGAAATGCTTGACAATATTGTCAAGGTACCTTTATTCCCAAACAATCCACAGGACCTGCAATTTAGACAAAACACTCAGATTTCAGAAGGGAACAAGGTACCACATGGTGCTCCTTACCACTGAAGTGAATTTGTGGCTTCGTTTTGCTCTTTTGTGGCTGCAAGAGATGAGAGAGGCACCTTGTATAACTGCCTGTGCTGTGTGGATCCGGAGAGGCAGCTCTATGTATTCCTTGTGAATTTAAAAAATAATAATAACATTTAAAAAGCCATAATAGGAAAAGGATGAGTGGGGTTCTAGTAATGCAGGACTTTCTTGGATCTAAAATTGTTCCAAGTTTTATTAGGAGCAAAGTGAGTAAGAGATTTAAGGCTCTGCTTGCCCTCCCCATGCCTATGTTGCAGTTAGATTATGACTCACCTCTTTGACTAAACTGCAAGGTACCAGGCTTTGCTCACAAAGTCTATAATCTTTTCCCTTAAAAACATTTTTTTTCATTTAATTTGAAAACGTAGCTTTGAAGATATTGTGACCCTGTCCATAAATCACATCTGCAAATTTGGCGTGCAAAAAAATGTAGGACACTTGATTTTTTTTTTTTTCCTGTACTAATAAATGCTTGTTTACAGTGTAGCAATGGGTAAAGAATGTAGAAAAGGTAGGTGTAATGCAAAAGGGTATTTTGGATTCTGTTCTAAGAATGTAGCAAAAAAACAGTCCAATGTTAAATATTATTTGAATATCATTTCTTAATGTGTCTGATACACTTATTCTTTATGTAAGTCCCCTTGTGTCTTGCATATGTTGCAAAAATTAAAAAATATCTATTTTATTTTGCCTCTAGGTGTGCTGAATTTGTGTCTGGGTTTCATTCTCAACTCTTTATGGTTTTTGCAATGACTGATTGATGGTATTCTTATTGTCGTGTTGAGAATTTGATAGTTCTAACTTAATAGGTCAGTATACTTTTTTACAAAATCTGGTATATCTGATGGGGAATTATTCCTATACAGTTTCACTTCTTGCTGTTACCATCTTCACAAACCGAGTGGTGAAAGCTGTAATAAATTTTAACACCGTTATGTCTGGCCTGTTATCTGCATGCCTACACAATACTAGAAGAAATAGCAGTAAGAAAGCTGCTTAGGAAACTTCTCTGTAAACCCTGCCAGACTCTGCAGGGGTAAAGGCAATACCATGTGTGGTTGAATTATTCTTGACTATCAGTGTGCAGTAATAATAAGGCAAGCAGGCAAATAGGAGAAAAAGGCATTAAATGTGCTGCATATATTAAAATGAAAAGCACTCATAGATAAATTAGTTGATCTGTACGTTGTAGTAGAGCCATCTCGCTGTGTTGTCTATAACCTTTAGCCACATCTCAGCTAGCAGACTCGAGTTCTGTACTGACAATAACCACGCCATTTTGCTGACTTATTTTGACAGTTTACGTCCGGTTACTTTCAGTGATTTGCAAAGCTGACATTTCCCTTTACTGAACCTGAAACTCTTTGCTATTGTATTGCCCAGATATTTTTAACATACCAGACGGTAATGAAAAGCAGAAAAAAGGGAAGAAGGCTTCCTCCTGATTGAACTCATAGAGACGTGGGTCCTATAGGACTACCCCATAATATATAAGGGGTACCTCTATAAGGGGTAAAAGGAGCCATACTGTAAATGAGGATTGCACCTGAGATAGGTGCATCTGTGGTCAGAGACACGTTACTATGAATTCCTTATGCTGTAAATGCCACGCTATTATTTGCTTCTTAGCAGATATTTTTCTGTTTCACAAACTGACACTGCACTAATACCTTTCCTTTTGGTAAAGTGTATCTGATTGAGTCAATTTATACTGACAGCTTTGCTAAGTTAACTTCTCTCTGAATTCCCAGTTCATTTAATATTTTTCTTCCTCCTTCCCACTTCTGAGCTACCTTTGTTCTGTGTATGAAGGATAGGAAGCTGATAGTTATTTTATATTTATATTTCAAGGCTGCTTAATGTTTAATGAGGCTGAATATGTTGTAAAAAGCTTCAGAACACTCAGACTGGTTAATATTTCATGCCGATCTACAGAGACAACTATATTGATCTTCTAAGCATCTGCTAAACAAGACAAGGAATAAATTAGATTTTGGTCAGTTCAATTTGGATGGTGAGTTAAATAGCTTTTCGAGCATTATCACCTTTTAAAGTGTTTTGTTTCCACTTGAATAAAATAGATTATAAAGGCAGTATTTCAACATGTCATTTCTCACTGCTCTTCATCTCACCACTTTTATTTCAATTGTGTTTCTATATGTTACAAAGGGATGCAGAAGAAATTCTTCACCGTAAGGGTAGTGAGGCCCTGGAGCATATTGCCCGGAGAAGCTGTGGATGCCCCATTCCTGGAGGTGTTCAAGGCCAGGCAGGATGGGACCTTGGCCAACCTGACCTAGTGCATGGCATCCCTGCCTATGGCAGTGGGGTTGAAACTAAGTGATCTTTAAGGTCCCTTCCAACCCAAGCCATTCTATGGCCTTTTAAATGGAGAGGAGAACCTTTTGGTTTCTGTTTGATTGCAGGAAATCTCAATTTCTGTTAACATTAATTAACCAATTTCTGTTAAAATTCTGTTAACAGTTTAGTAATTGACAATTAGAATGATATTTATTTTTCGTCCCTTCCTAGGTGTTGTGGACTTGATACCAATTTGCTAACTTCATCAGTGGTGGGATTCATGCTGACCAGAGTTTGTATCATGCTTCTCCGCCTTCGTCAGAATCAAATGGTCGTAGTGGGGAGAAGATGGTTCACACTGGAGTGGGCTATTGAGTGAGTATTTTTACACTCTATTTTTACCTAAACCTTGGCCATCTATTGGTTATCAATGTAGCATCTTCAGGGATGAAGCATCTTGATGCGTAAGTTATTTTTTGTTGCTATGATGAAACGTCATTTCTAATGTATGTGTCTACAGTATGTGTCACCCTTAATTACCATTCAGATTCAGTACTATGACATGACTTGTTCTGTATACCTTTTCTGGAATTTCAGATATGTGGTGGTTTCAGACCTCACAAATGAGGCCAACCATGAAACGCAAGCAAATAATAAAACTGTAAATGCTAGCCATCCAGATCATATTTGAATACTTTATGAAACAATTTTTTTCCACTAGCACATGCAATCTTCAGCATTTTCTTTATGTAGCAAGTTCTGAAGCTAGTTTGGACAAGGAAAAATGACACATGCAGTACCTGAAACTGAGCTCCAGAGCTCTGCTGCCCTAATACTTGTGCTGAAGATAGATATCCCTTAATAATCAACAGGAACAGCAATGAACATACATAATGATTGTACTCTTGTGACTGGCACAGGGAGGAGATGCTCCCATCTGGGGAATAGATTTTATCTCATCCTATGGAAAGACAAAATGCAGGTGTGAAGCTGCCTATGCTGTCACATGTGCATGTGCGTCCCTTGTATACTTTCACACTATGGGAAAGCTGATACCTTTTGTTTCTGAGGCTGCTTTGAAAGATTTGGAATCTGCATAGCTCTTGGGTTTGAAGGATGTCAGCCTCACTGGTCCCTGAAAATTCAGGGGAGAATAGTCCTAATGTTTTTCTTTGTTATTTAGCAACTTTGGTTAATGTACTCCTTGCTGGCATATTAAATGGAACATAGCACAGTAAATTAGAGTGATGAAGAGTACTGCTTATTAGTGGTGGGTAGTTCTGAGTGTTTCACTACAAGCCATGCCAGGTTTTGCAAGATCTTTGGCCTTGAAACGTTTTCTGTGGCCCCTTCCGCCACCTTGCAAAATGAATTACATTTGCTAATGGTCACATTTGCTAATGGCAACTTTCTGTCTAGGAGTGACACCAACATCACTCAGTAAAAGGATAAGTTTATTTGAACAGAGCAGTGATATATTAGATGGTGGACTTCCCTGAGTTAGACTTATGCTCTATATAGCTTACATGTGTATGAATTGATCTAAACTCCTAGAAGTTACTGCTTGATAGTAAAAAGATCAGGATTTGATGGTCACACAGTTACTTCTAACCTCAGGCCTCACCATCCTATTGTTATTTTGCTTGCTTTTATGTGGCTAAGGCCTTAATCCCTCTAGACAGGGGCAAGGAGTTCTGCCATTAAGTTCACTGGGAACAAGGTTGACTTCCGTACTGCAACGGTAAAGCACTACGGCACTATTTTAAGATATATGTGTAAATGTAATTAGGTAAGGACAGGCAGCATTCTGCTTTCCTCAGGGAGTTATGTACAGTACGTTGATTGGAACAGGAGACGGATTTAACCTGATTGAATCATTAAATGGAATTATAAGACAATGAACATTAGCCACTTAGTTCATTTCATAAATTCTAAGAATTAAAACTGTATGTGCAATAATAATGGCTATTCCAGATATATAAGTAGGAAAAATGCACCTTTGACGTATTGCGGCATAGGCATAATGAAAACGTGTAGTTAATGGACGATTTATGTAATAAGAGTTACCATACAGAACCTGCAGTTGGAAATATATAAACACATTTCCCAACAGGATTTCACTACGTCACTATTCATTAAGAAAATCCGCAGTAACTGACAAGATAGGCACAAAATGAATTTTCATGTTGCTGGAATGAAGTATGGCTCCCAGCAATTAATGGTTTTAGTCATATTAAGCAGATAAATAATGCTATCTGACATTACAGTATTTCACATTACACTAAAATTTTGTAACATTTGCTCATAATATGACTTGAAATATGTTACCTAGGAAAAAAAATGTTATCTCTGGAACAGTCAAACTCCATTAGAAACCTTAGGCTTGAAAAATCACGATGTTAGCAGTTATATCCCCTAGCAAAGGTTTGCTTTCCTTAAATAGTGTTAAATTTAAACCCAGAAGCTCTAGTCTCTTTTGGAGTTACTCTTCCTTGGTGCATTGAGCTTGAAAGGAAAATTTAGCGCACAAAATGTACTGTGCATTGCTCAATGTTGGTAAGTGAAGCACTATCGAGCTACAGAAACAGGGTAGCCTTTAGTGTGAAATCACATCAATGATAGTCATGTTTCTATATTCTGCTTTATAAAAATGCTCCTAATCTTAATATGACCCCATTACAATGATTGACACTTTATTATCTTAAATCTCATATTAACTGGCATGTTTACCTTTCTCATAGCTGGGCATACTCTACCTGAGTACCATTTCTTTCTTTTTTTCTTTTTTAAACTGAAAAATATAGGTGGTCTAAATTTCCAGTTCCTGTTTGCATGCGCAACTCCTACAATTTCAGCACTATTATTTATATAAGTATAGTTTTATACTAGAAACTGCCCAATGTGTTCCAAGCTTTAATAGCAACTGAGAACAAATACAGGGTCATGATTTCTCCCTCATTTGATGCTAATTTCATTCCAAGTTTATTGAGTAATGTGGAAGAAGATGTGATTGCTTGTCAAAGCTCAGATGTGGTTTTTTGTTGGGACAGAATGCAGTGAATTTGGAAGTGTCATGTTTAGCTGAAGGCAATGATGCTTAGTGTCTCAGCACCCAACTCCCACTGAATTTCAACAAGAGTTAGCAAACAACCTTCCCTTGGGTGCCAGTGAAAATCCTTCCCATCTAGTCTGGGCTGCAGTTTCACTTGCAGGAAACAAGTTTTTGTTTTTGTTTTTTTTTTATTTTTCTGAGGTCTTTTAAGGTATTGTTTCCTGAAACAGTGGAAGGTGATGATCCAAGTGCAGACAGAGCACAGAAGTTCTGTTACTAAAATATACAAATGTCAAACTTTAGTATAAAAGGACTGCAAAAAAAAAAAACAAACAGAAAACCCACCTTCTCAAGATTGCTATGATTACGGAATATACTAAGACTTTCCAAATCCAAACAATAACCAAAACAGATAATGTTTTACATGTGCCAAACTACAATTTTATTGCTTCTTAGATAACACTGCATTTAGGTATTACTTTGACATTAAAGTACTGGAAAAGCCAAAAAAGTTTATATCTTATGACATCTGTCCTACTGCATGTTAGTGGAAGAGGTAGGGACTTTTAGGAGACATTGCTGGCAATGTCATAAGTGCACACCAAAAGCTTAATAATTATGCTAGCAAGAACATGTAATCTCTGCCAGAGTGTATAATCTAGAATTTAATTATCTTCAATTGAAAATAAAATATTTAACCACAGTTCTTATGTGACCTTAGTGTTCTGAACAGATTCTAGTAACAGTGATAGCAACTATATACATTGGACTTATTTCTATTTTTTTTTTAATGAGGTGAAGAAGAGACAGTTGGTGCCATATGCCCAGCTGCTGTTCGTAGATGGCCAGCCAGTGCTGCAGGACCTGTCCATGATCCAGTGCTTGAGGAACTACTGGCTTTAAATGCTTGGTTCCTGATTTCACATCATCTCTACCCTAGTCTGTATTAGTGTTATTGCACCTTCATAGTATCAAAAAGAAGTAATGGTTTTATCATGCATATTTTAAAACCAGTACATTTAAAAACAACCAAACTTATCTGAGTTAGGTATATAAAAATATACATGTAACAGCTCACATTATACAGTAAAAAAAGAAAGCACCTGTGTGGAAAGCTTGCTCCCTTCTTTGGAAGGAAAGATGTCTCCATGTAGTTGCTTCAGTATCACGTCCTGATACGTACATACATACAGAATAGAACTGTAGCCACACGAATCTGTCCCCTGATGTGGTACAGAAGGCCCAGAGGGGTGATATGTCTCATTCTTTCTCCATCACAGAACTGCTGCTGCCATTCACACTGTGTGAACAAGAGTAAACTTGGGTAAAGTGCGAAAAGCGTGAGATAAATTATGCTCCATGTGGCATAATTCCTCCCAGGAAACAGCAGAACTAGCAGCCCACAAACAATTGTATGTTGTTCCGTTGTCAGAAGGAACAGTTGTCACTATGAACTCTACAACCCTTGCCGAGGAATGCCAGCATGGGTGCTAGGCCACGTGTGCTGCCTCTGCGCTGCGATGGGGGCTAGAGGGAAGGGCCGGCTTTATACATTGCCCTTGTAAAGATACAGCACACAGGGCTGCTGGTTACCTCCGGCCCATTTAGGAGAGAAAAATGGAGTGTGGAGAAAAAGGCCGGGCAACTTGGTAAATCTTTTCTCTGTACAGAAGACTGAAACTAAAATTCTACATTGTTAAATTGTTATATGCTATTAAAAAAAAGATAGCTAAGCAACCTCATCTATTTCAAAAGCTAGGTTTCTTTCTAATCCTAGCTGCATTTCCCTATGGTAAAAATGGGTATTTGAAGAAAATGAATTATTATTAAAGGTCCTTGGAGTTGTCTTTTCCAGGTTAGGCTCAAATATACTACGTTTTTTCCAAAAATAGAACTATAGTAATTAGATATTGTATTTAACCATGTGAAGAGACTAAAATGCTATTTCTATGCAGTTTCTGAGGTAATAAGCTGGCTTGTTAGAAATATATTAATGCAAGTCATTCAGTCGTGAGTGTGTCCCTTGCCCATCTTCCCCTAAAAGGGAGGATGGACACGATGACTTCAGTAAAGTGGAGAAAAGGTCTGTGGCACGTTGCTTGGTATACTGTATCATAGCTCATCATGGTTTCTTGTGAGGTCTTCCCCATAATTAGTAGCTTGACTTCCAACAAACATATTCCAGTTGTCTAGAACTTCCTCTTTTGTTAGTTTTTGATCCTGGTGGGAGGAAAACAAAATCTCTGTAAGAACTTTTTCAAAGCTAAGTAAAAGACACACCAGCACAGACATACAAGAGCTCTACAAAGCAGCAGACTAAAGATTCAGGAATCATTTTAGCTGTCATGGCGATGGAGATTTTGATCCGAGTAGAAATCACAAGTTCCACTGGCTTCAATTGGGTCAAACTGCTCGTTGAAATGTTAGAGGAAGTGGATGTATTGAGCCAGTCTTTAAGCCAAAGATGTATGTTTGAGTATAGAAACCTGGGCTTTTTCCTGCCTCCTAGGTAACATAACTCTTTTTTTTCCCTCTTGCAGTCTAAATTAATATACAAAACCCATGACCATTCTTAAAAAGTAAAAATATTTCTACTCTGTTAAAACTTGCAGGTTTAAGAAAATTTAATGTAACCTAATGAAAGCCAACTTCTAGAGTTAAATTGTGTTTTATTCATTTGTGATTTTGACCCTACCAACTGAAATTTGCATTAATACATTAAGGCACTAGCATGTCTAGCCTCTAAAACTCCATTTAAAATGAACTAATAAGGAAAAGTATTTCCTTATTAGTATATGAAGTTTTTTTTTTTTAATGTTACTTTTTTTTCTTAATACACTAGAACTCTAAGTACCTTATCTACATCCGATTCATAGACTAAATGCCTGGCTTCAGCTAGTGCGTGATCATAGTCTTGTGGGAGAATCCAATGCTGAATCTCTTCCTTGTCCATCTTTCCGTCCTTGTTGAGGTCACGAAAATCTGAAAACTGCTCACGCTCTGTAATCACCCAGTCAGGCTCTGGTCCACCCTCTTCATTTGCAAACATATCAGCTGGAAAGGAAATAAAAGTCTCACTCAAGTCGTACTTGATTTGAAAATTATGCATAAACTAAAGACATTTGCATGGTGTTCCTCAGAGGAAGACTGTCTCCATGTAGTTGCTTTAACTCTTTAACTTTGCTTTAACCTTTAACTCTTTGCACAGCATTTCTTTGTACAGAATATGAAATGTGGGGTGTAGAGTAGCTGTTCGTATCTTCTTTCAGGCCTACTTCTTCTCTGCTGGTGACTGTTCTTACATTTTCCTAGTGTATTAGCCTCATAAGCAGTGCATTTTTATGAAAGGTGAACCTGTCCAAAGGCCTTCAGCCACTTCAATTTGAGTGAAAAAAAATCTTTAAGGATCTATTGTTAAATTGCAGTCATGAGCTTTAGGGCTGAGCTCTATCACATGAGAAGAAAGGGATGTAGCAATTTTGTCTTGTCCCTGCCAGCAAATGCCTCCGTGGATAAAATCAGACTTCAGCCAGCAGAGTGGCTGAGAGAATAAAAGGCACAGGGGAAACTCAGGAAAACAAAAATTGCTAAATAGAAGTGAATGCTTTTATCCTGCTTTCAGAGAGGTCTGTTTAAGAGAAAGCCATCTTAGAAAAGGAGTCCTTTTTAACCATACAGTTCTGCAGCAAACTCCACTAGAAGGTATTCTTCTACAAAGAAAAACCTGGAAAGAATGTCCTGCATCAGTGGTATGCTCTGTCCATGAGAAACTATACGCAGTGCAATTGCCATAGCTTGGTACCTTGGGAGGGAGTACCATTTGTGACACAGGATGCACAGATTATGTACGTGAGCTGCTCTGTACATTGTACAGTAGTCCCGTGTTATATTTAAGAAGCATCAGTAGGAAAACACCACCGTGACAGCTGCTATCTTTACAAACAGCATTGGGAGAGTAGCAGTGATCATTACGAACAAGTATTGATTTGTATCTGTCCTTTACATCATAAACCTTCCAAATTACTAGTAGCAAAAGTCCTTCCAGACTTATAAATGTGTTCACTTTATCCTTCTGATCACTGTGGCTAATCAACTGTTTTCTGCTCATCAAGGCTGCTTATTCCTCAAGCTTTCCATTTTTCTATTGGTATTAAAGCTCGTTTTGTAGATGGTACTCCTATGCCTTGTGGGTCTGGCTTTCAAGAATAAGGCAAGGAAAAGAGCACCCCACATGGACGGTCTTAGGGTCACAGGCTTGCTGGTATCCATAGGAACTGAAAATGTAGATCCTCAAATCTAAGACTTGCCCTGCCCGAGGATGTGCGCTACGCTGAAGATCTGTTGGTAAACTGTCCACAGTGTCCCTGAAATACACTGCACGCTGGCACAGTGAGAACTTAGTTCTCTATGCCTAACATGCCTAGGGATATTCTGCTTAGCTGCTTTTATAAAATCTAAACCAAATTTTGTAGAAGTCAAAATGGGACGGAGAAGTGGGGAGGGAGTAATCATTCTACAACCTTCCACAGATTTCCCCATCAAATACCTGATCCAGAGGCTGCAGTTTCTGGACTTTCTGATTGCTCCTTATGAGCTACCAAAGAAGAGATTTAGCTTTCTGTTTTTAACCCCAATTTGATTAAAAAGAAAAGAATTATATCTGAAAATGGGAAGTAGGAATATTTTAAGCAGTTTTCCTCTACTCATAAAGAAACTTCAGACAACACATTCACTTTCTTTTTTGCATTTTTAAAGTGCAAATTATATTGTTTATTTGAAGCATCTGACATGTCCTGTCAATTTGATTTTTATCATCCTTGCCAATGTGGGGTGATCGTGACGAGAACATTCTATGTTCCTATCTATAGAAGACAAGAAAAAACAGCATTCACATGGTAACAAATGTTGACAATTACCTTATAATTATATGTAGGTAATGTCACTGAATGAACTGAAATTACTGTGGAAATTATGCTGCTCTGTTATTTCAGTCATAAATGAATAGCATTCACATTCTGAGGCTAAATATAATTTACAAGGAAAAGAAACCCCCTGCCATTAATTAACATGTGTATATTGTTCCTGATTATATGAGAAGTGATCTTTATAGCACCACTAGAAACAGAAAGATTCATCTGAGTTTGCTCTAATGCTTTACTGGTGATACTTTCTTGATTAAAAACCCATCAAAGTGAGTGCAGTGGGAGATGTTAGCTTTTGGTATCAGCATAATGATTCAAAAGGGTGAAACGTATTATGTGCAGCTGATCTCTAGTCTTGTTTCCATTTCGTTTTCATATGTCTAAGTGCAAGACAGTAGCTGGCTGCCTAGAGTGACTGAAAGTTGTGTAACTGTGACAGATTCCCTGTTGACATTTCCCATTCTGATCTCTTTCTGACATTTCAGTAACGCACAGCTACTTCTCATGCACTTGACAACTTTTTTGAGAAGCTTAAATCTTGCTCCTGTTTTTACATAGTTAATTTTTTTAATGCATCATCTTATATTTCTGTAAAAAAACATAAGGCATCACTGCAAAAATCTTTACAAAAACAGGGGATTTTACCCACTAATTAATCTAGGAAAATAACTAGTAGAAAATAGGCAACTTTGAAACACAATATTAACAAACCTTTGGTTTGTTAATACTGCTGCAGACTTGAGAGGATGGACATATGGAGATTTTATAAGAAACAAACTTTAAGACTTACCAATATACTCATCCTGATCCACAAAACCATCCTCATTTTTGTCAATGTCTTCTAAGGTTTCCTGGAAAATAGTTTTCCATTGAAGTAATCAAGAGAGAACTGATAATTCTGGCTATTCCCCTCTTCAGTCATTTCACATTTGAGGCCTGACCTGCCCTTGTACACAAGCAAATCTACTCTCACAGACTATGATGCAATTGCTGCTTGAACAGAAAATATACAAGTCTCACATTGAAAAAATTCCCTGCACATAAATGAAAAGCGGACATCATGCTGAAGTTTGAAGTTAGGGGCAGATAGAAGCTGGCATCGCACACTTTGCAGCCTCATGTCAGCATACCTTTCCTTTTATTTTGGTGCAAGTCCACAGCAAGACTGTTTCCACTGAGGAGTAGTCTAAGGGTATTTAACAAGTCTTCCTTGTACTGAGAACTCTAAATCAGGTACTTTCAAGAAGCGTATCCCTTTTTGTTCCCCCTGCTGGCTATTAAGTATGTGTCTGAGTGCCTCTTTCTCAACCCTGCCTGGAAAGGTTAGAGAAGCTTTTCAAAGCTTAGCCGAAAAGTAAAAATGAAAATAATGTTACTGGTTTTGCTCTGCTTACTAAGACAACAATGTTTTTCATATGCTCAAACTCCTCTGGGTGAAGGAAAGCTGTGAATTCTTCACGAGTGGCAGCTAGGTCTCCATCCAGATCTGCAGTTTTGAATCGTCTTTCGTCTCTGGGCAGCATTTTTTTAAAACTGTGCCGATCAGTTGCATCTTGGAATTCTTCTGGATTTTCTGCAAATTAATCAAGGCAATCTCAAAATTTTGTTCCTTTTCAAGTGTGCTAATGTGATAAAGCCCCTTAATTTGCTGGTATGTACTCTGTTAGAGTCTAGAAATACAAAGGCTCATTGCTGTGTTGAACAGGAACTTCTCTTTCCTATGAAGCTCAAAATTAATTCAAGGGTCAAACACTTTGGGTCATTTATAAAGGTGACTTAGTAGTAAAAGTAAACGGCTGAGTAGATTCCCTGTTGGAATCCAGGGTCTTGCAGTATCATATACTATACTTCACAGATTTATTTATTTTTAATCTGCTTTTATAAGCACTGCTTAGGCAGTATTTGGAGTAGATTTCATTCACAGAAGTTTTATGCTTCTTAGGAATCGGTATGACCTACACAACTCCCCAGTTTCAAAAAGCAAGCGAACCAAGGAAAAGTGGTTTCAGAAGCTGGCAGACTGACTGAAATTACTGAACTGCTACGCCTCTGCTACAGGGAACCTATCAATTATTTTCACTTTAAAACAAAGACATTTTTTCAGGGTGTTTAGCGACATACAATGAACAGTATTTGATATAATTTTTAGAATAGGAAAACTAAACTGATTTCAAAGATATTAATTGTGAAATTGTTATGAGTATTTTCTCATGTTGGGAGATAAACATTTGAAAAAGACTAGGCTGGGAATCACAGATGTGAATTTTACGTGTGTATTAACACAGGATCACAATACAGTAGCTGTCCTCCAGCTCTCGGGGATCACAAAGAGGGCTGTGAAAGACTCCCAGGGATACTGCTACAGGGATGTGAGACAAAATATTACCTTTAAAAATGTAGTAAGCCCCATTTTAATCTAGGGTAGAACTTCTACTTAATACTGCTGCTGGAATCTTGCTCCAAAAACTGCCTGTGAGGTAGCTAGACAGTCTTCTCATTGCCAGGAGAAATGTACTCATGGTCAGTTACTAGCGATTAGTGGTCTGTAAGCATTGCCCCTTAGCTTAAGTAATCTCTTCTCTTTCTTTCCCTTCATTAACTTAGAAAAAGTAAAGTGAATGCAAGTTGAAGGAAAAAAAAAACAAACAGGTATAGTTTTAATACATGTTGCTTTTGTCTCATTTCTAAGGATTTTCATTTACAGCTGATCCCAACCTGAGGCATGTTACTCCACAAGAACTATTTTATTCAATAATTTTGCTATAGCTTATACCCAGCTGAAATTTTTAGACTCTAAAGAATTTGAGACTGAATTGACAAACATTGGTTAATTATGCAAAATAGTTCTCGAATGAAAATACTAATATTAATGACAAAAAATCATATATTTGTTAATTAGAGTAGAAGACCTTAATTAATCTTCATCAGTACATCGAACAAGCCCTCTGTAAAACCTTCCGTGTAGTGGCAACCCATGTGGAAATGGCTGAAATACAGAAATATTGCAATAAAGAAGTGCTTTTGACCTCTGAGTGTCTATAAAATTTAATGCTATTTCCAAAAGTCCTAAATGTGACACCAAACTCCTGTTGGCTATAAGGCATGAAATCATGCCTTATAACCCCAATCGTCATTGAGCATATCATCTGAAGACGTTATCTTACCTAGATAATAACCATATGTGGCTTGTTTATATTCTTCCCAGGCGATTTTATTGTCCTTGTTTAGATCATAGTCTTTCCAAACTTTAGCAACATTTTCGTAGATGTAGCGTTTCTGTACCCGTTTAATCCAGTTTTTCAGTTCCTCTGTTGTGAGATAGCCATCTTTGTTTTCATCTATTCTATCCACAATCTTCCTGTAAAAAGAGAGTGGCATCCGTAAGAGTCAAAAGAAAACCAAACTGCATGTCAGTCCAATTCTAGTAGTCTTTATCTGGCCCTTATTTTCCACAAAAATGTAACGCCCAATACTTAAAAAGCTGTTCTTCAGGCTAAAACTTTCTTCAATTCTGCATGTTATCTTAAGGAACATTATTCATTATTCAATATTGCTATGAATAATTCAATTGGAATTTGCACCATCAAAGTCAGTGAACAAACTACCTCAGAGGATACCTCAATTTCCTAGATACTAACTACAGGGCACCTCTTCAGCGTCCGTAGGGGGTAGCTATGCTGGACTCAGAATAGGAAGCTGACTTCACCTCAGGAGAAAGCCTGTACTGATGTTTGCCAGAGGCAATCAGAGGAGAAAGCTAGGATTTTGCAGACACCTGCAGTTCCTCCTGTGGCCCTCCAGCAGACCGATGCTAGGCTGGAGTGAGTTGTGTGTGTGCAACTTTGTGTGCAATGTTGAGCATGTGCACCATTTATAGTCTTCCCTTCCATTCCCATCCCTCCGCTTTTCTTTTCTAGATAAAAAAAAATATTGCTTGTATTGCCAGGAATGCCTGGTACTCATTAATGCGGGTCTCCGGTCATTGCTGGCAATTGGGATGTAAGCAACTGCCCTAAAGTAAAGCTGCTTGCCTCAAATTCTGTTGAAATCAGCAGAAGGGAAGGTACTTGGGTACTCCCAAGGAAGCTTCCACCTTTGAAAAGTTCTGCACACAGCTGCAAGTAAAACTGACCTGAAAAACTGTGTTAAAAAAAAAAAAAAAAAAAACCTCTCTCCTCCACCATTTAGATTCTCTGTAATAACCACCCTGTCCCACACTCAAGAAAATCAAAATGACCATTATCCATAGGCTCAGTCATCATCCCTTTGGTCTAGTTATATGTTATTTGTAAGAATGGGTAAGAGCAGAAGCCATCTTGTCCAAATCCTGACTTTAAATTCAACAGGTGAGCTCCCTAAATCTCCAGGATTTAGTGAAGGAGATAGTGAAAAGTTCTGAACTGTTAACTATTCCTTGCAGTGCAACATCTTGGAAAGCTGGCACTGGCTGAAGGGAAGCGCTCAGCAAGTAAATCAGTGTCCTTTCTTGACCCTGTCAAGCAACAGCAGCAGGTCCCACTGAATCTGCAGCACTGTCATGTGAACCTGATAGCATCAGGTTTGTAGCATGTTTCATCTACTGCAAGTCAGAGCTTAATGGATATTGGTTTGGGGTCCAGCGGTTGCATTCATAAACGTGGTATTTCTGAGTGATAGGGAAAAAAAGGGGGTCACAGAATTTGCTTTCTAAAGTAGGTAAGTATGAATTAACTGACTGGAAAACCTTTCTCTTTTGTGTAAATCTCATGGGGAATTGGCTGCCGGGGTCCCTTTCACTGCATGATGGACTGAATTTGTCAATGAATGTGCTCCACCACAAATTTGACTTAACTGCTTTAGCTGATATTTCTGTTTTATTAAATGAAGTTGCAAAAAGTGATTGTGCTAACAGCTCTTTGGTATTTTTAACACCAAAGCAGTCAAGAATCTTTACCATAAAATGTCCTGTGCCTTATCTTTCTCATCTATACTCTTGTTTTTATAGCTCCATTGCGTCCATATGCACTCTTTTACTCTGCTTCCCAGATGAGGATGGGGACAAAGAAATAGTCTTGCCTACAGGCTCCCAGAAGTGGACTGCAAACCTCACGTTTTATACTGGTAATTACCTACAACAGGGCCCGGGATCATTCTGAGTTTTGTAGTGGAACTACTGTATATTGTCTGAAAGGCATTAGTGCCTTCATTTTAAATAGCTAATTCTTGAATATATCAAAAATTCACAGAGCATGTTAAGACATGCAGTGCCAAGTCATACCCAGGAAGTTACATGTACAAGTGTGTAACACCTGAAACCTTACGTTCTCCCTTTAACTGAGGTGAGATAACAGTCAGTATTGAGGTGAGAAACTAATAGAGTAGCTAGGGGACACACACAACAGGTACGTACAGCCTGCTGTGAGGCAGATTAGATCTGCCTAAATGCATCTGGTGATGAAACAAAGGTGGGGTAAGGAAATCATTACTTAAAGTGGCTGAAAGCAGAAGGCTTCCCCTCTGCATGTGATGCTCAGCACAACTGTGTGTGGATAAACTCAGAGCAAATAACAATTGTTTATGTTGGTAGGATGTGCAACCATCTTCTGTGTTTGCTGAAAATGGCAGGCCCAACACAAATGGCACGGAGGACAGGGGTCCCACTCATCTTCTTAGCCCATCTGCACTCCCTTCATGCAGCCCTTGGCTGCTGCACCAGGACTGTGCCGTGCTTCTCCAAAACCAAGTGAGTTGTGGTACTGCATACAGGTAGGAAATCTGTGATTCTTCCCTTATCCAGTGGCTCAGTGTGGGAGGACAGGCATGCTTCTGTCACAGAACCTGTCCTAAGGGCAGGTGTACTCCAAGGTTATGATAAAATTATGGGCTGGTATGTGCCATGATCACAAACCAAGATTTTACTGCTCAGCTGCTCCTCCACAAAGGATGTGAGCAGTTGCTTGCAGGGCTTTTTCTGTGTACTAGCTAGTTCCGTTTTGTTTCCTGGAAGATGAGAGTAGCTTTGTGTTATCACTGCCTAGCCCTGCAACTCCACAGGATGATACGCTGCCATCCTTGTTAAGGAAGGTACAGTAACAGCAGCACACGCTTTGCTCCCAGAAAGCATTGATAAAACATCTCTGATGTTCTGCTGCACAATGCTCACCCTGCAACGTGGGCTTTGCTTCTCAGAGGAAGTCTTTAAGTCATGCCCACATCAGAGGTGTTTGGCTGTGGCTGTAGCTTAACGTGCCTCTGTCACCTCTCTTTTTTTTTAACTGTTAGACTTAGTCCTAATTAGCAACCTGACTTCTGCTAAGCGCACAGGAGGCAGAGGCGCTGACAGCAGGCAGCTGTCCCAGTGCAACGAGCAGCGTGGAAGCAAGCACGGCGCTACCACAGCGGACAGAGCTGTCACGAGTGGAAAACCTGCAGGGAGACGGCTTCGACTGGGAAAGAGCTGCGGGGAAGGGCAGGGGGACGCGGCCTCAGTCGGCCGGGTGCCCGCAGGAAAGCGACAAGGCAGGGAAGCGGCGCTGCCGGCCAGCAGGTCCCGAGCGAGGAGGAGGAGGAGGAGGAGGAGAAAAGCACCCAGGAGGGAAGCTCCCAGGAGGGAAGCACCCAGGGCTCGGGACCTGTGCAGCCGGAGCGAGGGGGCGCCCCCCGCCGCGTCCCGCCCCGCTCCGCTCCCTCCCCTGCCACGTTCCCAGCGCCCCGCCGGGGCTCTCCGCCTCACCCCAGCCTCTCGCGGCTCTCCTCGGGGCTGAGCTGGTCGAAGCTCCGCGCCTCCTCCTTGCCCAGGAAGGCCTCGTGGTCGTACTGGAAGCCCGGGCCGTCCTCGTGGTGCTGCTGCTGCTGCTGCGCGGCGCCGGGACGGGCCCGCTCCTGCCGCACTGTCGGCTTGCCCAGGCCGCCCGGCACCAGCAGGAGCAGTAGCAGAGGCAGCAGCAGAGGCAGCAGGAGCCATCCCGGCCCGCCGGCCATGCCCCGCGGCCGCCCCGCAGCCCCGCTCATCGCCACGGCCCGGCCCGGCCCCGCCTCTCCCCGGCCGCTCCCCGGCACGGCCCCGCCGGCGCCACGTCTGCAGGGCGGAGCGCGGGGGGGGAACAGCCCGGGGCCGGCAGCTCCCCGACCATCTCCCTTAGGAATGCACAAAACCGCTTTGATTTTTGAGTTTTCTCCCCAAAATGGGCAACGGAAAAGCTACAAGTTAAAAAAAAAAAAAAAAAAAAAAAAAAAAAAAAAGAAAAAAAAGTGGCTATGTAGTGAGTGCTGGAAATTGAAGGAGAAAAACCCAAGTTTTTTGGCACAGAAAAAAAAGCATTTGCTTTTTTTCCATCGATTGCAATTCATTTTGCTCAAGGTTGTAGAAGCAGAGACTTCAGGTTGCAGTAACTGACATTTTCACCGAGTAAATTTCCTTTTCCTACACCGTAGCCCGAAATTCACAACCGGGGAGAATTGCTTGTTGCTGGTTAATGACCTTGTGTGCTGTCTGACCCAGCGTGGCAGATGAGCGTTGCTACCAGAGCCCGGCCATTCTTCGGCACGCAGACCTGAGAGAATTACTGGTTGCAACATGAGATTTGTTAGCCCAGTCCACTGGACAGAAAAATCGTACTTATGCCGGGCCATTGGGTGTGCCACGACCGTGCAAGTTGCTGAACCAGGCTGTGGCCTCCCTGCCGCTGTCGTTACCCCGGTGGACATCCTTTTGACCTACAGGTAGGGTGCAGCTGAACTCTGCTTGGCAGGGGGCTTGACCGTATTGACAGCAAAAAGCTGATGTCAAAGCCTTCCGTATTCTGCCTACTCTTCCGTGTTCCTCTGTGTTCTGCCTTTTGTGACTATGGATCAGAGAGCAACATGTAGATCTAGCTGTGTGTTTGCCTCAGAATGCTTGCATTTGTGGCAGGAGTGAGTTTCAAGCATTTAAACAGTCAGATACTTTGTCACTTAAGTCTAGACAGCGAGCAAAACACTAACACCCTGCTTTAGGCCTGGTTGTGGCCGCTTTGATGGGTTTGAACAGCCACAGCCTGAGCACTGCTTAAGTGAGAGCTGGGGTGTATGTGGCAGCTTGAAAATGGTTCTGCTGATCGTACCACCTGCGTTTGCATCCACAGAGCCACCGTGATGCAGCGTTTATGTTGTTTGTCTTGCGCTAAGCAAATACCGGTTAAATAGTTGTCATTAACATCTTCAGGAATTTCATACTTGGGCAATAATTCAGATACGTCTCCACTTTTCTTTTTAATCTTCTAGTGTTCTTCTCCCCAATTCCTATGTCTATAAAGTTGTTTCTAATGTTGTTCCAGGTGTGAGGCTGTGATGAGGTGCTCAGTTTTCACCTTCTTGATCCACATGGCGCTAGAGTATGCAGCTAGTCAAGAGGGAAATCAATTGCATGGATAACAGGTATGTTTTCCTGCTCATTCATCAGTCGGTGATAGAACATTGTAGATTGATGTTTGATCTTTGCAGGGGTATGTGAAGTTATTTGAGGGAGGAGAGAAATGAATTTGTACGTTCTGTTTGTCAGAACAATTTGGAGCTACTTCTGTGAGAAGAGCTACAGCAGTGGCAATGCAGAATGAGCTCAGTATGTATGTGGTCATTCATTTAAAAGCCTCCAGGCGTCAGGCGGGTTTGCCTTGGGGATTTGGGTTCAGGCCATTGGACTATTTTAATTTTGCCCTGTGTTTGGATTCATGTCTGGGCCCTGATATGCCGTGATCTTATGAAGGACAGGAAATCATGAATGTTCTGATCCTGCTCAGACTTGGTTTGGGACCGTTGGTAATAACAATGAAAACTTGATTGATCCAATATGACTTTTTGTGGAAAAGGAAAGGCATTGCAATTACTTGTCCTTAAAGGGCTGAAGTCTAGTCTTCGATTTTAATGCTGAGAAATAGACTTCATGTTCAGTCAAAGCAATTGTTGATCCAGTCAGTTTCAGTGTTGCTGGATTTTTGTACCACTCAGTTTAATGTTTACAGATTTTGCTCTTGGGCTGTCGTGACCTCATCAAACACCTTAAACTCTCAGTCATCTCTGAAAGGTCGTGCCTTCTACTCATATTATTCAAGTCACAAAATGATAGAAGTTTTCCCTTACATTCTTTATCCACAAAACTTGTTTCTTAAAATACTGATTATTTTTACCTGTGATGCTGGTATTTTCTGTTTTAATAGTGTTACTATGAACATCTCTGCTGAGAGAAACCTGCTGCTGCTGAGTGATCAGCATTAATTAGGTTTAGCGTTAAAGATGCTATTTTCATAATCCACACTTCTTTAGGTAATGTGTCTGAGTTTTATACACACAAGGTTTCTTTGAAACATTGCAGAATACCAGGTCTGCAACATCGACAATGTTTTTTAGCAATACATTTATGCAGCAGTAGGCATGCTGGGTAGTTTATAAGCTTTTAATGAAATGCTGGCAGATATTAGGGTTTTATGGGCTGGAAAACAGTGCAAATCAAAGAGCTTTGCTTACTGTTTATAACATTTTTCCCCTGAATCTAACAATATTTATCTCACTGTTTCTATCTTGCATTTCACTCTTCACATATTTACTTTTTCTTTCACTGATATATTCACAGTCAACAAACTATTCTGTATGAAGTATACTCAGAGCCACGCTGTGCCTGTCATATGAGTCCCGTTACCCAGATAAAGCCAAAGATGGCTTGTTCCATATCCTATTATTTCTTCAGTCTGCATTTATCCTAATAAGGGTACACTTACATCTTGAGTCGGTATTTCTGGACATCACTAATTGTGCCTTTCCTGGGGCAATGTAAATGACCCCAAAGGGATGCCATGTTTTCTGACTGCCTGCTGGCTAATACCTGCTCTTGTGCTTTCAGGTTCAGGAGCAGGGCCTGTTTCAGCACTGGAAAGCATATTCTGTAGCTCAGTTAGGGAAAATGGTGATCTTTGATGATAATTCTGCTGATATTAATAGTAGGTAATGATAAATGTCTGTAAGAAATGTGTTTTCGAAGGTATGCAAAAGAACGTATTTTTCTGAGAAGTTAGAAAATTAAAATACAGCGTTTTTTTCTCATCAACTCTACTACTCTCTGTAAATTCAGACTAACTAAATTATAGTATTACTCTGTACACAGAACATATGATTGGTTTGGATAGATATGAGTCAGTGACGTATGCCACCTTAGATTAAATTATAGAAATGTATTTTGTGATTCATATTTTACATTGCAGTTAGCCTAAGATGCTTTGCCTGAACTCAGATCATAGCAGCAAAACTATTTTTTAAAACCTCGTATTTTCCTTAGGGCACAGAACACATTCATCGAAGCTGTTGAAAAATGTCCATTGACACCAATAGACTGCAGCTCAAGCTGTTTGTGTACAGTGGTGCTATATTTTATTGGAGATGTAATTGCAGCAGCATTTCAGAATAAGTTTATGTCTCATTTATTTTAGGTGATCTAGAATTAGATAACCTGCATTTGGACTTTCAGCCAAATTCTGTTAGGTACTGATTGCTCTCTTTGGTTTGGAATGTACAACTCTAGGTAGCCTGTAAAATTTGTCTCAGTCCATGTGGGAAGCTAGAGTTTAGGAGATCAGAGCAGAAGGAGATACCAGCCTGCAAATAACAGCGGAAATTTTGGAGGCGAACTGGGGGAACTTTCGGAGAAACGCTTTGATTAGACTTCCTTTGGCCTGTCATGACCAGCTGCTAGTTCAGACCTTCTTCATCACACCACCACATCCCCTTACTTTTCTATTTTTTGCCTTGGTGTAGTCTACATCACTCCCTTCTCTTTCTCTTCTTTTCATCTGTTGGTGCCTAGCTTACCAAACTCAAGTTTCTTGACACAATACACCTGAAATAATCATGCCAGTACCATGATGTTGACAAGCTTGTTTGTTCTGTGTGATGCCCTACTTCTCTTGTTCATTACCTGTCTCATGTAATTGCAGTGTAAACAATTTGGAAGGGGATTTTCTAGTATTTCTACTGATTAATTTCTGGTTATTACTACTGTTACTACTACTACCCGTTACTGTTCCTACTGTTTTTATTGTTTCTATTGATCTTCTACTGTGTCTGTGCAGTGTCTGGCTCACTTGGGCATGGTCTGAGTTGGTCCTTACGGTACCGTTGCCAATAAGCATGGTTAACAACCATTTTAGATCATCTGGGAACAGTCTTGAAATTTCCCTTCTTATCAGGAATCTGTGTGATTAGTGTTTCTTCAAACATTTACATTTTCAAGTGTATAAAAAGATCCTTTGCTTCTGACAGCATGAATCGGTGCGCTGTATGTGCAATTTGCCCTGGTAATTACTTATGTATGGTGATAACCATAGCAACATCCCAGGTAGATAATGTCATGCAAATTACTGCAGCTCCAGGGATGGAAGATGTTAATACAAGTATGTACTCACACCCCTGGTCTTCAACATTTTGCAGCGACTCTCCCCTCCCCCAGACGTGTTGTTTTTAAATTTCCTTTCCTCCCGGTGATCGGAAGGAAAAGAAAACCTCTCGCTATTTTTCTCATTGGTATTCACGCAGAGGGAGGGGGAGGGTGGTCCTTCAATGTTTCTGTCATGAATAATTTTGTACACAGGGTGGAAATTCCACAGTGTATGTAGGGCATAAAAGTCCAGAGACTTGGATACACTGCAGGGCCACGTTGTGCTTAAACCCAAGTTCTTGCATTTGTAAACATGGAGAGTGAGTACATGTATGTGGGGGTGGGATTGTAACCACAGATGTTTAGACTGAGGTGTAAACCTCCTCAAATCATTTACAGAGGAGATGGGAGAGCAGCTTTGTTTTTCAGAGCAGACATGCTGTGGCTGAATACTTATCAGGGGTAGTGCATTGTCACTGCAATGAAGAAACAGCAGAGAGGAAATAACTGGTAACAGTTATCCCTTGTTTGGTCACAAGCAAGAGAAACAAAAAAAAAATCTATGTAAGTGCTAATCTGCATATATATGCAAGTCCTTTTGTACCCTAGAGGTGGCTGGAATCTTTTATTAAAATCATTTTAAAAGAAAGAAGGAAAGGAAATTGGTTAAGTAGAAGTTTAGCTTTTCTGATGCAGAATGAAATTCTTGCTGAACTTTTGGCTGTGTGGTTAAATACTGGGAATGCGGGTGTTAGTCCTACAATCTGCGCCGAAGCTGCTGATTACTGAAAGCTGAACTGCTCCAGCCATTAAACCAGGAAATACCTTGATTAAAGAGAATGGAGATTTGCAGAGTCAGAAAGACTGTGCAGGCAGCTGGAGTATGTAGTCAGATCCCAATGTGTAGGGAAAATATTCCCAAAGCGAGCTAAACTATTCACTAGGCCAGCATCAAACTGTCTTCATCATAAAAACAAGGTCTCAAATAGAAGCATGTTGAGGAGTGGAAAAAAAAAGAAAGTTGAAGCCACTGAACAACTTCATTTTGGTGATGGAGGTAGTAGATGTTCAGAGTGTTAATTGGAGATTTTAAACACTGCCATTCTGTATCCCCTGGAGTCTGTACAGGGATGTTTGCCACTCTTACAAGTCTGTCTACAAATCCCAGGCTGTAAAGTTTAATCTTTTTCCCTCTTATTCTTCTGTGAATTAGTAATTCAATACTTCGGCTATCATTAGCATGGATAGCACTGTTCAGCTGTGCCAGCCTGTCCAGAATAACTATTGGTGACAGCAGAATCTGAAAGATGCTCATGTCCAGGTAATCCAGTTTGTTGTTAAATTTAGCATCAGTGCTAGGGGCTACAAAGATCCCTGACTTGCAGTGGAGTTGCTTTGTGTGTTTGTTTGTTTGTTAGCTGGTTGGTTATACTTGGGTTTGTTTGGTTTTGTTTGCTTATTTGTTTTTAAATCTGCTAGGATGCCTACCTAATGAAAACAAGCAGCACCACAAAGAAATATATAAACTCGGGCTTTGTACCATCTGACAGAAACTATTGAGACTAATTGTCTGCTTGAGCTTTTGCCTGTCTGCCTACTTTACATAAAGTGGACATTTCTTTCTTATTTCTATATTCAGCATGTGCCTGCCTGAAGATGGGCTCTCCCTATACTCCGTATCACATCAAAGGGAATAGTAGATGCCTGGGAATTATAGGGATAGCTGGAATGAGGTTCTGCCTAGTTTAATGCTCTCTCTCTTCAGAATAAAATTAGTAATATCAATTGTGCCAAACATCCTGAAACCCTGTGTGCAGGCTAGTTTCTTTGGCCAGTACCACAGCCAGACAAAACACTTGACTATAATTATCTAGTCCTCTGCTTTCCATGGCTAGGATGACTCTTTCAGTCAGGAACTGACCTCTTCCTAAATTCAGTGGGAATCAGGACCGGCATAGTTTGTTGTTCCTATGCTGTCTTGTTATTAATGCAAGTCTCTAGTTTTGATTTACTG